GAGTCTCACTCTGTCATCAGGTGCCAGGCTGGAGTGCAGTGGCGCGACCTCGGCTCACTGCAACCTCCGCCTCCCAGGTTCAAGCAATTCTCCTGCCTCAGCCTCCCGAGTAGCTGGGACCACAGGCGCGCACCACTACGCCCCGCTAATTTTTTTGTATTTTTAGTAGAAATGGGGTTTCACCATGTTGGCCAGGATGGTCTTGATCTCTTGACCTTGTGATCCGCCTGCCTCGGCCTCCCAAAGTGTTGGGACTACAGGCGTGAGCCACCGTGCCCGGCCAGAATTTATCTTTTAAAACACTGTATATGTATGTGTCCAGCACTTAATGTGTGCTTAATAAACACCACAATGAATAAATGAATGAACCAAAAGTGTAACTGGAATTTTACTTCTATAGAATGAAAAGAAATAAAATGAAAAAGAGAACAAATTAAATACGGGACTGTTAATCAAAAAGATGGCTCTCGGAAATACCCATAGAATCTATATCTATTACCTGAAATAGAGGTAAATCTTTAAAGAGGTATCAGTACTTGTCCAGTAAAGACAGGACTATACCAAGTTCTTTTCATTCTTGAACTCCCAGAGCTTTTCTCTTCAATTTTTTTTCCTGCCCCATCTGCTTTCCAAACATTTGTAAAACTTAATGTCTAATACAACACCATGATTAAACTCTTTGCAACATCTCCAAGAGAATTTTGTACAGAATAAAATACATAAACCTAACACAGTAAGTGTTATGGAATGAATTGTGTCCTTGCAAAATTCATATATAGAAGCCCTAAGCCGAGGTCCTCTACTATATTTGGAGACAGGGTCTTTAAAGAAGATGCCCTTAGGCTGGGCCCTAATCCAATTTGATTAGATCTATAAAAAGAAGAAATACGAATACACAGACACCAGGGTCCTGCCCTGCACAGAAGGCCACGTGGAGATACAATGAGAATGCAGCTGTCTACAAGCCAAGGAGAGAGGCATCAGAAGAAATCAAATCCACTAACATCTTGATCCTGGACTTCTAACCTCCAGAATTGTTTAAGCCTCCCAGTCTGTGGTATTTTGCAGTGGCTGTCCTAACAAACTAATAAAATAAGTAATGACAGAACATAAATTGCCACATTTATAGTTTTGCTCAAATAAGAGCTGAAAAATATTTATTTCAGTAATATAACTTTATCTCAGGCTAATTTTCATTATTCTAGGAAGCAAACTACAAGTTATTTCTAGAAAGATCATCACACATCCTTTTAATATAAAAAAAGTTCAATAGAGATAAGTACACATATAGTAAGTACAGGAATATGAAACACAGACTTTCCAGCATGCATATTTTATTAAGAAATTTGACAGAAAATACATTCAAAGTAAAATTTAAATTTAAATATACAGCATGTCAATACTTTTCAGATTTTATTCATTTAAAAAAAGAAAAAATTTGTTAGAACTCAGACTCATATAATAATTTTGAAGTATCTGCCTATAAAATTTATTCTTGACCAATTAAGGGTAATACTTTTCTTTCAAAATACAAAATATTAAAATCACCTGTAAAAATGATTTTACTAATCAACCCTTTCAAAGTGAGCATCTCTTCTTTCAACAGCCATTGTGGGCTGAGTATAAAGGCTAAATTCTACAAATTCAATAGCCACATTTTAGGTTGAATACTGGGGAATGTAAAGTAGAAATATCAGCACTATTTTGAGTTTTACAATGAATTAAATAATTTGATACCTTAAAATACTACTTAATTAATTTAATATAAACTTTTTCATTCATATGGCAACAAATTTAAATGAACCCTGGTGAATTTATTTTTCAACTTGTAAATACGAAAGAATTGAGAAGACATACAAGAAAAAGCAATCACATAAGAAAGAAAAAGTGGAAACTTGAATATGAAGTGTGAAACATGGCATATATAGTAAAACAAGAGTCAAGAAGCCTGAATTCTAGTCCTAAGTCACTACCATGGGGTATTACTTTGAATGTGTCACTTAACTTCTCTGAGATTCAGTATCTTTTCTTGAAAAATAAGGTTTTAGAACTGCTTTAAATTGCGGGAGTTAATGAGTTAGTGATGTAGAGTAAAACAACAAAGAGCAGAT